TGACCATCGCTCTGATGTCCGGTCTCCATAAAGCTTGAGAACCAAGAGTGTCACCCTAGAAGCTCTTCTATCAAAATTTCAAAGGCAGTTTTGTCATGGTAATATTTTAGCCTTAAAAAATCAGCTTCATGTTGGATTGATCCATACTGGGTTTCTAAGGTTGTAATACAAGCTGTATACTGTAATGTGCCGATTTGGTGGAATAGTTTACAGATTGAATTCAGGTATTGTAATTGTGTCTATCTTGTGTGTTTACAGTTCTCTCTGGATATTCAAATCACATCTGCAGTCTGCGTTTTTTAATTTGCACAGTTACAGATCTTACAAATTACAAATTTACAATGCCATATATCCCTATGAAGAATTAGACCTCACAATTTGTGCTTTGTGTTTGTTTTAGTATATTAACAGGTTTGGACCATATGTCGAACACAATCCTTTACAGGGTGTTTGGTTGGAGGGATTTTAAATTCCCTTCCCACTTAATTTCCACATAATTCCAAAGACCATTAAATTCCGTAGTTTGGTTGGAGGGAATTGCAATTCCCCCATTTTCATGGAATTAAAATCCCAGGTCCCCCCCTGGTATTTTAATTCCTGGGAAAAAAAGATAGTGATGAGTCAAAATTACCCTTTCCTTTTTTAACCTAAAATTAATGTCTAACAACAATAATGGACATTTTTGACTTTATACTACTTATTCCCTTTCAATTCCCATGTATACCAAACATTGGAATTGAAATTCCCAGTAATTTTATTCATGTCAACCAAATACTGGAATTTAAATTCCCACTTTATTCCCAGTAATTCAACTCCCATGGAATTACAATTCTTTTCCCACATAATTCCCTCCCTCCAACCAAACGCCTTGTTAAGGTACTTAAGGGGTTGAGATTTCATAGATGAACCAGAATTTGTAATAGGTTGGCATTGAAATGATTCAACTTGTTAACTTTATTTTTTTAACACTTTTGTTACCATTCTAAATGGGTAGTCATAGAATTGAACTTCTATTACTATTCAAAAAAAAAAAAAGAGACCAAAATAAATCCATACAACTAGAACTATTTAACAAATATTCACATTCAAACAACAACAATAATTTTTTAAAAAAGGCCAAGCTAATTCTTCTTAATTTTCTTCTCATGGCGTGGCATTATTTGATTACAATTAGGTAGAGTAGGCCAATTCATAACTCATAAATCACCAAGGATGAGAAATTAGGAGTGCAACTTTGAGAGGAAAATTACATTTCCTATATAATAACATTACAATAAAATATAAGCTGGATTAAAACTTAATAATACAATAAAAACATTAGAGCAAATTTCACTTTTAGTCATTGAAACATTTCTCTTATTATTAATTTTTGTTTTAAATTTTTTTTTGCCTTATTACATCTTTTGATTTTAATTTCCTTGCCACAATTAGTCTTCTTTTTAATAAAAAGAGAGTTAATACGTCTAATGGTCCTCCGAATATTGGGATAATACCAATTGTGGTCTCACACTTTTAAACCAACCAGAGACAGTCGTATGAGTTTCAAAACTAAAACCATTCACTCAGTGACGGAGGCAAAGGTATGCTGGCCCCCCTCCAATTTTTTTTTTTTAATATTATATATATTAATTTTTTTTTTAAAAAATATTATATAGAATATTAAAATTTTGTTGTTTCTTCAAAATATTTGGCCCCTCTCCCACTTAAATTAATCCTATAGGCTAAGTTATAAACTTTCTCATCTTCTTCAATTCTCTCCCATTCTAAATTATGTATTCCCTATATTATTGACTCACATTCAAATTAAACCCCATTTAACCTACCTACTAGTTTTTCTCTCTAGAACCATACATATATGCAGTATATACGCTATAATAAGACAATTCGTCATTAAAATCTATGCATATTTTTCAAGTTAATTTTGGTTTTTTTTGTTGTTTATAACTACATGTTTGGTTAATTTTTGTTTCATATTTTATTGTTTATTTTAAATAGTGGTTTTGTTTGATTCTAAATAATGGATATCAAGGTGCATTTGTTTGGTTAATTATGCAAATTTGTGGTTATGTGATAAGTTTTGTATTTAATTTAACATGTATAATAATGTAAAAATTGTGTAGTATATGTATTTGAGAATACAATTGCTATTATGTTATGTTGTGAAGATGATAGTTTTCAAGAAATAATCAATAGTCTTTTAAAACACACGTGAATGTTTTCATTGTTTCAACCGTACAAAGCAATGTGCATTGAAAAGCATATTACAAAATAATTTAATATATATTCAATTATAAATGATTTATTCTAAACTTTATTAAATTTGTAATGTAATGATTATTTTGAAATATGTTAACTGCATATCAATGTATTAGTTGACCCCCGCACTATGCATTCCTGGCTCCGCCCCTGCATTCAATTCACTTCAACCCATGTAATGGAACCAACATACATTCTTGCTCTGATTCTCATCGCCTTATTCGCCTCTACTTCTCCTTCTTCTTTGTAAACAGCAATGTTGTAGGAGACAACAGGGCCGGATTTTAGGTTTGTGTGGCCCTGTTCTGGTAAATAACTGAGGCCCTTCAAAATCTAAATTTTTAAAAGTAAGATATAGGAGTTTCGAACTTTTGACCTCCAAGTTAAAATACAATATATACACATTTATACCATCTCTTCATAGAACCTTTTTAAATTTATTGTAAACTTTTAATTTTTATTTCTAAACTACCTAGGTAAATATTAAATATTGGACCTCTAAAATTTGGGGCCCCTCTAAAATTGGGGGCCCTGTACGGTAGCCCAGCTTGCACAGCCTAAAATCCGGCCCTGGGAGACAGTGAGATTGTGGAGTTAAATTTGGATGTTCTACAATGAGAAGAGGAAAACAATGCATGCATGATATGAGGCAGTATGTATAGTAATTGATGATGCTCCCGGGAGCGATTTAGAGCATCATTATATTGAGGCTTCCCAAAGCTTTCTGAATGCAAAATGAGGCTTGTTGAACAGACAGAGGTTCATCGTCTCGGCTCAAGTGAGTAGTCGATATGAGTGATCGCGAATTGAAGATCAGAGGAGGCTTTAATTTGATCGAGGAAACCAATGCTAAGGCCTTAATTAGCTTGACTCTAAAATAGAGAGCCCGAGAGATTGATGGTAACCCTTGCAAATGAGATCCGTGACATCTAAAGGAAAATGGATGGGAAGGAAAAGCCAATCGCTTGCATCAATGCCCTTTAATTTGTGCATGAAATATATATTAACCTACAAGGCTCAGCTCCAAACAAATTTAAGGTGCCTTGTGACTGTGGACCCTGGTCCAATATATAGAATTTATGTTCATAAAATAATAAATTCTGTGCACGGATTCTTTCTATAATATAACTGAGAACATATAAATACTTAACATAATACACATAATTAATGTTCATTATATCGTGTTATGTGCATGTGTATTATGAACATTAATTCTGTACCTTATGAAGTCAAATTCTATGCATTAGACTACGGTGTATAGTGTACTGTGGACCATGATCCACGATATAAATTGCCCCCACCCAACCGTGATTCCAGGGATAATTTAATTTGCTTCCTAAGTGAAGATTTAGTGGTTGGGGTAGAGGACCCCATGCTCTTTAAGGCTCTCTTCCATACATTAGAGAGTTTGACACAACGATGGTTCTTGTCCTTAGCTTGCCCCTACGGTCAATCAACAAGTCCAAACAATGTCAGTGCTAATTGTCTTTGTCAATATGTCTGTTGCATTTTTACTGGTATGAATTGAATTTTCTATAAAAAATCTCACCAGAAACAACCAACTCTCTAACCTTACGAAACCTTACATCAATATGCTTGATTCTAGCATGATATACTTGATTCTTAGCCAAAAAGAAGGCATTATGATTGTCACAATGTAATTGAACTTCACCTTTCTCAATACCTAATTCTTTAAATAAATTAAACTTGAGAGTCACAAAGTCTCTTTAGTTGCCTTAGTTATCCATGTATTCTGCCTCATTTGTAGACAAAGCTACGATGGACTGCATTGATGATCTCCAACAAATAGGACCATCACAAAGAGTATATACATATCCCTATTTAGAATGTCTAATATCCATATCGCCAACATATTCAGAATCCACATATCCCACGACTAAAGGCTCACTCTGCGTGCTGACTCCCAAATACAATACTATGCTCCATATAGTGCCTTTTAAGTATTGCATAATCCACTTAACTACCTCCTAATGCAGCTTTAATTCCCAGGTTTAGACATGTAATTACTGGCTTGGCTAACAACATGAGCCAAAGCATGTCAAGTACAAAACACTGCATGCATTAGGTAGCCAGTTGCGTTGGCATATAAGGTACCTTTGTCATTTCTTCAATTTCACTAACTATTTTGGGATACTGACTGGATGAGAGCTTAAAATGATTAGTCAAATGAGTGCTAACTGGCTTAGACTTATCCCAAACCTGTCAATGACTTTCTAAATATAACCCTGTTGAGTTAGCCACAACTTCCTTACACCGCTAACTTCCTTACACCTCTATCCCTGCGAATTTTCATGCCAAGAATTTTCTATGTAGTTCCTAAGTCTTTCAAATCAGATTCATGACTCAACAAATCGTTGAATGCAATAATATATAGGGAAAATTGTAAAAAATGCTTCTCTATAATATGCCAATTATCAATGTCACTCCTAAATTATGAATGGTGTAAATGTTGTCCCTCAATTATCAAAATGGTGCACATATAAAAACATAAAAAATAACTTAAAGCTCCTAAATAAGAGTTTATTTTAAACTCGTATTCATTTACCAAACAGAATTAATAGCCTATTTATAACTTAAAATAAATTATAAACTATTTATAATTTAAAATAAATTATAAACTCTAAAATAAGTTATGACAAAACAAAGTCATAATATGCAGAATAAGGACAAAATATGTTACACATGAATGTAGTATAAAGTATATACTAAACTGAATCCTTAAACATTAAGAACAATTTTGCATCATCCAGAAAAATGTTCATAAACCATGTAGTTCTAATCATGGTAGAAAAAAGTAATACATATGTGATTTTCTATAGACTAAGCATGAAACAAACTGCTAAAAGGAAGTGTTAAAACTAATTAAGGTATAGTAGATGAATTTACCGCGGTTGTTGAGGAAGAATATAAGTAAGGTTTCGGAGGAAATGGCAAAGAATCCGTATTGCTTTCTAACATTTCCAACACCTTACTTATTGATGGCCTGATTGAGGGATCACTATGAATGCACCACAAACTAACCACAACCATCTTTCTTGCACATTCCATATCCTCTTCATTCGTAATTCCTTTCAATCCTAACTCTTTATCAAGTTCAATTTGGCGGTAAATCCAATGCGGAAAATATATTTCACTATTGTTATCTACATCATCCTCAACATTCTTTCTACCGCTAACCATCTCTAGTACCATCATCCCATAGCTGTACACATCAGACTTATGAGAAATCGCTCCAATGTTTCTACAAGCAACTTCTGGGGCAACATATCCAATTGTTCCCCGTGCTCCCATTATTGATACAAAGCTCTCTGTTGTTGTGTGCAGCTTTGCAAGACCAAAGTCTGAGATTTTTGGACAAAAGTCTTCATTTAGAAGAATATTATGTGGCTTTATATCAAAATGCAAAATTCGTGTCTTGCAGCCACGGTGGAGATACTCAAGTCCCCGAGCAATACCAATTGCAATTTTGTACAATGTTGGCCATCCTAATTGGCGACTTTTTTGAATTGTTTTATCATAAATGAACTTCTCAAGTGACCCATTAGGCATAAATTCATAAAGTAGAGCTCTTCTGCGGCCTTCAAAACAAAACCCTAACAAAGTCACAATATTAACGTGAAAAGTTCTACTAATGCTTGCCACCTCATTGATAAATTCCTCACCACTACCTTCTGCTTCCTTTAGTAACTTGACTGCCACAAGAGTTCCATTGGGTAAATTTCCTTTGTAGACACAACCATAACCTCCTTGACCTAGTTTATCTTTGAATGAATTGGTGAGTTTTTTGACTTCTGAATAGCTATACCTTTTTGGAGAGAGCGACTCATTGTTTTCTAGAAAGACTTCTATGTTTCGTTCATCTTGAGTTTTAAGATGGTAAGAGAAAGTCCTTCCAAGACAGAGAAGTAAAATCATTAACACCGCGACTCCAATTCCAGAAAAAGCTGCAATTATTGAAAAAAATGTGGACATATAATTACTCAATTTTTCAAATAGTTTTAGTAGTAAATCTAATACATTGTTACACACAATTACACATACCTTATTGATAATGTTTACTAAAATAATATTACTAATTTTTGTACTTTTATGCACCGTGTATATTTCGGTGTTGCATTAAGTGCTGGTGTGTGGTGCACTTATGAGTGCTCTGTACTGCACTAATGAGTGCTCTGTAGTGCACTTATGAGTGTGGTGCACCACCAAAAAGGAAAAAAAAAAGGCGATAGGTTCAATAGACCCGTTGAGTGGTGCAATACAAAGTGCACCATAGATCAGTGCATCACAGAGCACTCATTAGTGCACCATAGATCACTCATAAGTGCACTTTGTATATTTTGGTGATGCACTAAGTGCTGGTGTGTGGTGCACTTATGGATGGTGTAGTGGACTTATGAGTGATCTGTGGTGCAACGCCAAAAAGGGGAAAAAAAAAACAATGGGTTCAATAGACCCATTGAGTGGTGCAATATAATACTAAATGCACCGCCGAAATATACATGTTGCAAGAAATTATGAAATTGCCACCGTATATTTTCTCCTCTTTATTGATTTCTATCCCTTTGATCTTAGCTAATTCTACTGTTCTGATATGTCCGCACGATCACATGCGAGAGCATGGACATATATATATATATATATATATATATATATATATATATATATATATATATATATATATATATATATATATATATATATATATATATATATATATATATATATAGTATCTATGTCATTGAATCAGTTTAATCTAACGGCTGTGGTAATTCTGAGGATTTTCGCGCGTTTTGGTAAGTTGGGGTGTTATGGTAATTACAGTGGCCATTTATAGCGGACGGGTTCCAGAATACACCAATAGTGTTGACAACATACACCAATAGTGTAATAAAACACACCACAGTGAAACACACCAATGGTGTATTCCCGTGTTATGGTAATTACAGTGGCCATTTATAGCGGCCGTGTTCCAGAATACACTAACAATGTTGACAACATGCACCAATAGTGTAATAAAACACACAACAATGTGATTTTCCCTATTACGGTGTTTTATGACGAGTTTACCTTTGCAATTCGCTGGGTAGGAGAATGTGCGCGAAAATACTGGAAAAATCTTGATTAATATGATTCATTGGATCTATCTAACCTAATGGCCTATAATTGACCATATGACCACACTTAACAACATGGCCACATGTGATCACCTCTCTCTCTCTCTTCTCTCTCTCTCTCTCTCTATATATATATATATATATATATATATATATAGTGTGTGTGTGTGTGTGTTTCTTGAAACAACAATCTAAAGTTTTTGAAAAATTCAAGCTATAAAAGGTTGAGGTCGTGAAGCAATCTGACAGAAAAAATCAAGTACTTGAGGTCTGACAATGGAACATAATATACTAAGAAAGAATTTCTAAAATTTTGTGCAGAACATTGAATTCAAAAGTACTATACATTGTGTAAGACAACACAATAGAATGGTGTTGCTGTGAAGTTACAGCTTCCACATCTGCAGTAAGTTCAAGTTCAGAGAATTTACAAGATTATGGTTTGGCTAGAGGTAGATTGAGACGTACCAATGTCAAACCACTTAGCAATTATAGGTTTGAGGATATGGTATCTTTTGCACTTCTTGTAACTAATAATGATACAGTTACCTTTCAATAGATTGGTTGTTTCTAGCTAGGAGAAAGATAAATGGATGACAATTATGATTGAGAATATGGAGTCTTGACATCAAAACCATACTTGGGAGCTAGTTCAGCTTCCTCAAGGAAACAATGTTATAGGGTGCAAGTGGGTCTATAGGAAAAAGCCACGAATATCAAAAAAAAAAAAAAAAGTAGTGGTGGTGGGGGGGGGGGGGGGGGGGGGTGAAGATGCAAGGTTATGTTAGTTACGAAGGGGTTTTCTCAATCGAAGGGGATATATTATAATGCAATTTTTTCTCCTATTGTTAGACATACTTCTATTAGGTTAGTACTTGCTTTGCTAGCTATTTGGAATTTGCATTTGGAGTAGATGGATGTGAAAACTGCTTTTTTTGCATGATGATCTGGAAGAGTAGATTTTTATGAAGCAACCTGAAAGGTTTGTTAAACCAGGAGGTGAGCATTTGGTTTGTAGGCTTAAGAGGTCATTGTATGGGCTGAAACAGGCTCCATGACAGTGATACAAGCAGTTTCATTCTTACATGATTCAAATTGGCTACAGACGTTGTGAGTATGATTGTTGTGTCTAGTTAAGAACTATGGTGATGGTTCTTTTATTTTTCTGTTACTCTATGTGGATGATATGTTGATTGCTTCTAAGAGTATGAATGATATTACTTCATTGAAAGCTTTGTTGAATCAGGAATTTGATATGTGCAAGACTTAGGAGTTGCACAAAAAATTCTTGACATGAAAATTCGCAGGGATAGAGGTGCAAGGAAGTTGTGGCTAACTCAATAGAGTAATATTGAGAAGGTCCTTGACAGGTTTGGGATGAGTAAATCTAAATTAGTTAGCACTCTTTTGGCTATAAGTTTTCATCTAGTTAGTGTCCCCAAACAATTAGTGAGATTTAAAATATGGCAAAGGTTCATTATGCTAGTGCAATTGCTTGCTTAATTAATGTATGTGATGGTTTGTACTCAACTTGATTTGGCGCATGCTATTAGCCAAGTTAGTAACTACATGTCTAAACTTGGGAAGCAACATTGGGAAGTAGTTAATTGGATTTTCCGGTACTTAAGGGGCACTATGGGGCATAGTATTGTATTCGGGAGTCAACTGAGTGAGACTATACTCGAGGGACATGTGGATTTTGATTATGCTGGTGATATGGATAACAAACGTTCTACAATACGGTATGTATTTAATTTTGGTGGTGGCCTTATTTTGATGTAGGTCATCAGTTCAGTCGGTTGTTGCTTTCTCTACAACTGAGACAAAATACAGGGTGTTGTGATTGAGACAACTAAAGAGGCTTTGTGGTTTTCAGGTTTGATTAAGGAATTGGGTATTGAGCAAGGTGGAGTTCAATTACATTGTGATAATCAGAGTGCCATCTTTTTAGCTAAATATCAAGTACGTCAGGCCAGGACCAAACAATGTTTCATCTGATTAGAGAGTTAGTTGCTTCTGGTCAGATTTTGTTGTAAAAAATTCATACCAGTGAGAATGCAACATATATGTTAGCAATAGGGGTGTAAACGAGTCGAGCCAAGCTCGAGCATGGGTTGGCTCGAGCTCGAGCTCGATAAGCATAGTTCAGCTCAAGCTCGATCGAGCTCAAAAAATGATGCTCGAGCTCGGCTCGAGCTGCTCAATTGTTCGAGCTCGATCTTGAGCTCGAGTTCGAGCTTGAACTCGGGCTTAATTTGAGCTCAATTTTAATCTCGAGTTTGACCTATTTGAATTCATATTTCAATTAATAATAACTATTATTTTATCCATACATAAATAATAAAAAATTTTAAAAATCAAAAGTCCAAACTTTGGTAGTGGCATCTAATTTGATGCTCCTCCTTATCGACGCCAGTGGCGTCTCCGGGGAGGCACCGAGAGATTTAGGCAGCGGGTATGCAGCTGCAATAGATTTAGGGTTTTCCTACTTTGAGAGTTTTAAGTTTTATATATATATATATATATATATATATATATATATATATATATATATATATATGTATGTATTCTTTTTTATATTTATATTTATATTTAATATTTATCTATTTATTTAATTATGGCGCGTGAGCGGCTCGACGAGCCACGAGCCTAGAATATTTGAGCTCGAGCTCGGCTCATTTACTAAACGAGCCGCTCGAGTTCGGATCGAGCTCGATTTTGACCGAGCTCGAGCCGAGCTTTGACCGAGCGGCTTGCGAATCGCTTGGCTCATTTACATCCCTAGTTAGCAAAGGCAGTTACTACTGACATTGTTTGAATTTGTTGGGTGTTTCTAGATGCATGCTAGATGAGCACGACTACCCGACTCATGGTTATATGTGAGATAGCTATTTTTTCCTAAGGGACATATTCGTTAAAGTGGAGATTTGTTGAGTATGTCTCATATAAGGAATATGAGTGGAGTGGATTGGGTCAGACCCATAGTATATGAGTATTTTTGTACTTGTACATGTTTAGGGTTACATATAAATATGATGCTCTTAATGTTTTATCATCACCATCAGAACTAATAAAAGAATAACTTCACTTTTATGGACGTAGGCACATTATCAACCTACGTAAATCTTGTCTTTCTTACTTTCTGTCATTGTTATTGTTTCCTATTCTTGTTAATCTCAACTAATTGTTATCAATTATTGGGCGGAGGACAGTAAAAGGCCAAGTCCATCAATTGGTAGTTAGGGGTATTGTTGGGCAGAGGCCGGTGACGGGTTAAATTCAGCACTCTGTCTCTTAAAAATATGATATGCAAAATGCGACTGAGAGAGTATATAGGTATAAATAAATGTTAATATATTTAATATAAATTTAAAGAATGATATTCTTAATTATTATATAAATATAAATTAGTGGTAATATACCTTATTATAATATTATGTAAATAAAAATTAATAGTAACAATTAATTGGCAAAATAGTCTTTTGCATTATTAAATGAATGTAATTAATTTGCTAACCTAAAAAAAAAGTACGGAGTATTAGTTTTAACATTTTGGCCACAATTTGCTATTTATCAAATGCTACTAGTTTTAGCCATTTGACGAGATCAAAGGGCTAAAGTCTGAAAATTTGCAAAAAAAATTACTCCGTACTAATTTATCATTTACCAAACACTTCAAAAATGTGATAGTGAAGAAAGTATATACCTATTATTACAATCATCTTCCTCTTATTTTCTCCCCCAACCGTATCTTGTCCTGCAAATGAGGCCATCAACATAATATTGTGGGTCAAGATATCTTGTCCTGCAAATGAGGCCATCAACATAATATTGTGGGTCAAGATAATTTTTGCATGTTTATATGCTCGCATGTAAAAACCAATTCAATTAACTTCGTAAATTTATTTTATTTTTTATTTGGCAGGAAACAACTTTTGAGAAAAAGAAAAAAAAAAAAAACAACAAACTTCATTCAATACTTATATCATGAGCTAAGGTCCATATATAGTAACATAAACTTAAAAGTTATAATCAAAGACAAAAACATGTGAGAAAATACTTGTCTGAGATGAGTCTGGCAAATTATGCTGTGGAACCGTGTCCACCTTGCAAGGTGGACACGGTATCAAAACTATTAATAATTATGAGTATATAGTTTAAAAATTATGAACATATAGTTCTATAATTATGAACATATAATTCTGTAATTATGAATATAGAGATTCAATAATTTTGAATATAAAGTTCAAAAATTATAAATATATAGCTTTATAATTATAAACATATAGTTCAGTAATTATGAACAAAGAGTTTTGTAATTGTGAATATAGAGTTCAATAGTTATAAATATGAAGTTTATAAATTATGAATATATATATATATATATATATATATATATATATATATATATATATATATATATATATATATAACTTTATAATTATGAACATATAGTTCAGTAATTATGAACATAGAACTAAAGGTGGACACGGTTCCACAGCATAACGATTGGACAAGTCGGGTCAAGATCAAATTCAATACTTATACAAGAAATTTTATATCGTGGGTCAAGATAAAAATTTTCTAAAGAGTTTTATTACATGTACTCTCAAATTTTACTTCTTCATTTTTACTCCATAATATAATAGGCAAGGATTAAATATTTTCATAATATATGTCATAAAAAAGTGTCTATATTAAAAATTTGTGCGAGGAAGTAAAAATTTATAATAAGAAATGAACGTCCATGTAATATTTTCCCTTTCTAAAACATTCTTCCAAAGGCTGAACCCCAACCCTAAGGGCTCCCACACCCCGACCCAACAGAACATTTGGGAGGATGTAAATCATGGTAACTCAACTGAACATGAACCACAGATGCTAGACCGTGCTCAATGCGCACAAGGAACCTCCTTTTTTAAAACATGTTTCAGGAAAAAGTAGTTTGGATCGGTGTATATGCTTACCTGTTATTTGATTCAGGTTTGCCTTTCTTCCTTTTACAGTCCCCTTTCTTTTTCCTACAATGAAAGCTTTATTAAATAAAAATAATAAAAAACATATAGTTTTACGGACAATTTTGATCAATAAAATTAAATATAACATCCTTTCTACCTCAGTATTAGAACATAACATTTTTAGTTTATATAGCATACCTTCTAAACACTTGAAATTGTTGCTGCTATCAGATTGGCACTGGCCCCCTCTATAGTGACACTCTGAACATTTTTCGGACACTTTCCAAAAGAAAATAATCTCAGGAGTTAACTCCTCAAATAAATCATTGCTTTTGGTTGAGTTGTCAAATGGCAATTGAACAAGCGAACAATCTTTAGGAACTTTGTTTTTGGGAATAATATGATGATTTTCTTGGTAGTATAGAGTGAAGTTTTTACAGTTACTATAGCTCTTGTATCCCTTAAAATAATAATCTATCTCCTCCCGACTATGGTGTGATGAGCCTTGGATGCATTTAAACAAGAAAAGGAATTGGGATTTGGGCACATCAAATAAAATGGAAGGAGAATTGGTAAAGGAAGTAGACGAGTTCCAATTGAAAGAATCACAACTTCGGTTCTTCAAGTGATCATTGAGAACTGGATCAGAAAGCACCACAAAATCCTCTTCCCCAAAAAATATAGTGTTATACAACTTACCATCTAATTCTAGTGTAGGAGGTCTTGAGACAACATTACAACCTAACTTAACCAACCCACAATCAGGAAATGACATATTTGTGAAAGGAAAAGTAGGAATGCTCCGGTTGCTACAGAGGAATTCTTTTGGGCACTTAGATTGGGCAAGGTGAAGAAATATTATGAGCAAATAAGACAGAATGAAAGAAACTGCATTGGAGGCTGTGGCCATACTGGACGACTGGTCTCCCATTTGGCTAAGCTGCTCTCATCCTATTTATGCTCCCATTTCATTAATTTCGGTATGAGCACTTTAGACACGCAATGGAATTTTGTTAACGAAATTACTCTAACGAGTCAACGAGTCAACGAGTCAACGTTTTGACATTCACCTATCAATAAACACTGGATTGAGCATTCTTTGAATCAAACTTTGAACAAAATTAAAAGTGGCTAGTATAATGGCAATATTATAAAAGGATAACGTTAAATAAGTTATTTAACTTTTGCGAAATATATAATTAATTTGCTAATAGAAATTTAAATTTGAAAATAATATATAAATGCAATTTGATCTATTTTATCTCTAAAAAACGTTTTTTTCCTTGCATTTTTTCACTGCATTAAGGATATGTCTCGATTTGGATCTTCTTAAAATAACTAAATAAGGAACTAAGGAAGGAATGTTTTATTTTGAAATGGTATGTAGCGAATCTCCCATATGGGAGGTCACGAAATCGAGCCTTAGTGGAGATCATGTTGACTCTTTGTGCTTCAACAAGTTGAGAAAATATGTATGAACAAATACTACAATGTAATTGAATCAGTAGCTTAAAAAAAAAGAATGTTTTATTTTGAGTTTTTAACATCTCAAATTAAGGGAGAGATGCTTAATATGATTAAATTATGCAAGAGAATAGTATTACTCTTTATAGGGCGTTTGGTCGGAGGGGGGAATTACGTGAAAAAGGAATTGCAATTTCATGGGAGATGAATTATTGGGAATAAAGTAGAAATTTAAATTTTAGTGGTTGGTTTACAGGAATAGAATTACTGGGAATTTCAATTCTAATGTTTGGTATAAATGGGAATTAAAAGGGAATAAGTAATATAAAGTTCAAAATGTCCATTGTTGTTTTGGTATTAATTTTAGGTTAAAAAAAGGGAGGGGTAATTTTTTTCTCATCACTAGCTCTTTTCTTCCAAAAATCCCAGGGGATATGAGATTTTAATTCCATGAAAATGAGGGAATTGCATTTCTATATATGGAATTGCAATTCCTTCCAACCAAACTAAGGAATTTTATGACATTTGGAATTAGGTGGAAATTAAGTGGGAAGGGAATTGAATTTAAATTCCCTCCAACCAAACACCCTGTTATTGTAACCAACATGTTATTTTTGTTAGGAGAAAATTACAATTTTGGTCATGTGACTATGTGGTATTGTTAATTGCAATTCACGACTTTCAAAACTATTAATTTAGTGCCTTAACTATTCAATTTTTATCAATTTTGATCGAGTTAATACCCAATATAGTCCTCCACTATAGTGGTTTTACTCAGTTTAGTCCTAAGTGACTTTTTGTACTCTATTTAGTCCTCAACTTTAATGGTTTTACACACTTTAGTCCTTCGGTTAAGATTCCGTTTGTTGGCTGTTTTTTTTTTTTTTGGTGAGGAAAGAGAGGCTAGGCCTCAAAGATTATCTAATTCTACGGTTGAGAGCTCCCCCAGCATCACGTGCCAGATGAACCCTCAAACCTTCCATAGCTTCAGTGAACACCCAGGTGCCCCAATCTTTGTTTTGAGCTAGATTAGCTTAAGAAGTCAGTGCAACAATTCCCTTCCCTAAACACATGGGTGTAAAGGATGCCTTCGAAGTTCTTAACCATGCCCATGCAATCATTTAACAAGGTGGCATAGCTAGAATCTGTCTCATTTTTTTCCATTCATGAGATCAACCACTGTCTTGGAATCCATCTCCACGATTACACGAGAATCTCCCTTTTCAAGGCAGAGCCGTAAACCCTCCCTTAGGCCCCACAACTCCGCCATGAACTATTGGTCCTTCCTATTTTCGTTGTGAACCCCCAAACCAACTCCCCGGATTCATCTCGCACAAGGCCACCTGCCGAAGCCATCCCTGTATTTTGTTTGATAGCTCCATCCGTGTTCAGTTTTCGCCAGCCGTGACGAGGGGGACGCCATTGGACCAATGTAGAGGACGTCGTGTCTGTGTTGATCGGCGTTAGAGCCTCCCTCTTCTCCTTAAGCTGGGCAGCCACCCAAGAGACACATGCCGGAGGAGTCATTTTCTTCTTATTGAAAACCCATTCATTCCTGCTCTTCCATCTCATCCAAAGGGTAAGCACGAACGTTTCCCGCCAGCTCTTGGTGGTAAGCCTGGAAAAATTGGCCTTGATCCATTCTCCAACAGTCCAATGGATCGGGAAACCAAAATTTTTTAGGCGTCGCTGTGAAAAACCAAACAGTTTGGGCCGTGTTACACTCCCACAAGAGGTGTCTGAGAGTTTCTTCACCAGATTCGCAGCAAGGACAGTGGCTGGACTCCGCAAGATGCCGCCGTTGTCATTCCACGTTAGTAAGCAGCCTCCCTTTCAGAATTAACCAAAGGAAGGTTTTGATCTTCTCCTCACAGTCCAGCTTCCAAAGCCAGCTTCAATCTTCGTCGGTCTCCTCAGTACCTATAAGACAAAGATAAGCAGACTTCACAGAGAACTTACCTGCATCCCCTTTTGGCCAGCCAATGGAGTCAGGGGTCTGCTTTTCAATCGGTATTGCTATAGCTCGAATGGAATCAACAGCCGTTTCTGGGAGAACCTCTTGTAGCTTTGGATCCAACCCACCAATCATTCCACATGCTAATCGACTGCCCATCTCCAACTTTCCAGTTAGCATTAGTGGCGATCGTGTGCCTCCCTTTGATGATGCTTTTCCAGGCCCATGATCCGTAGGTTGGTAAAGGAGATGATAGAAAGTCACCTTTGTTTAATATATTTATCTTTCATGACTCTTGGCCAGAGCTTGTCAGAGTTAGAGCACATCTTCCAAGCAAGCTTTGCAAGCAGAGCATCATTAAAATGTTTAGCTTTTCGGAGACCGAGGTGCCCATTAATTCGCGGTTGGCAGACTCCATCCCAATTGACCAGTTGAATTTTTTTCTTATCCTTGGAGTCGCCCCACAAGAAATCGCGACAGGTCTTGTCAATCGTGTCACATATGTTCTTAGGGAGGGCCAATGCTTGCATAGTATAGACCGGAATCGTCGCGAGCGCCGATTGGGTAAGAATTCTACGACCCGGTAAACTGAGAGAGTCTCTTTTCCAACCCGAGAGCTTTTTCTTCATTTTATCCAGAATATACCCGAAAGTATGTTTGGTAACCCGTTTATGAAGAACAGGAATGCCCAAATACTTTCCCATATCATCCATCACCGGGATTCCGGCAATCTCCCCGAGCTGGCGCTTAGTCCTGTCATTAGTGTTAGGGGAACAATAGATAAAGGACTTATTAAAATTAATGGACAAACATGACTGCTTAGAGAACTTCTCAACCACTGTAAGAATGATCCGTAGCTGTTGTTCAGAAGCCTCGCCAAAAAGGATAAGGTCATCCGCGAAGAAGAGATGGGAGATGTCGGTGCCCCCTCGAGCCACTTTGAACGGTTTTCAATAGCCCTTCCGAACTTCTTCTTGGATTGCCCACGAGAGAATCTCCATAGCAAGAATGAAAAGATAGGGAGCCAAGGGGTTGCCTTGCCGGACACCTCGACCAACACCGAAAGGAGGTATTTTACCGCCATTCCAATTAATAGAGATGGTGCTCTCTTTGAGTGCAAAGAGGATGAGAGAAATCAACCTCCGAGGAAAGTTCGTGACCGAAAGAACCTCTTCTAGGAAATGCCAATCAAGGCTATCATAAGCCTTATGGATGTCCAGTTTTAAGATCATAAAGCCTTTCTTGCCTTTCTTTTTCTCCATGTTGTGAACCACTTCCTGAGTTAAGATCACATTATCCAGAGTTGACCTATCCGGTAAGAAACTATTTTGGAAAGGTCCAATAATTTCCCGCATGATCGGTCTCAACTGGTTAACAAGGACCTTAGAGATGATTTTGAAGGCCACATTGAGGAGAGTAATGGGTCTAAAGTCCCCCCGCGTTTTCAGACCTATCCTTCTTGGGAATGAGGGTTATATATGCCTCCAGCATCCCAATAGGTACCGTTCCTGAAACAAGACTATGGTTAACGAAATCAGTTACCGAGGTCCCAATGATGTCCCAAAAGTGCTGGTAGAAAGCCGCCTGAATCCCATCAGGTCCTGGGCTACCGAACTACTTTATAACAAAAACAGCTTTCCGGACTTCAAGGGGGCCTGTCTAATAAGGCTCAAAGCCTGTCTATTGCTGATGGAACGGCCAGACTCTAACGGCGAATCCAGAGAGTTAACCGTTTGATTCCTGCCAAAAAGCGTTTCGAAATAATTAGCGATGTGGTCTTTAATAATTTGGGTATTAGAAGTCCACTCACCATTAATCTTAAGCATACGTCTAATAAGGGTGGCCCGATGATAGAAACTAGTGTTCTTGTCGCCATCTCGGATCCACTCTTTTCTAGATTTTTGAAACCAAAAGACTTCTTCTTTGAGAATGGTATTGAGCTCCTTGACCAGATCAACCTCGAGCTTGACTAACCCCCTGTCCGAGCCAAATCTTGGAGACGCTTGGATCCCCACAATTCTGGCTTGAATGGTCTTTTTCCGGTAGAAAATATTCCCAAAGGTTTTGTGATTCCAATCTTTGGATAAAGTAGCCATTTGATTAATAGCGCCTAAAATGTCACACGGGTGAGCATTCCAGGCCTGATGCCAAATGTCCCGATAGTCCTCCCTTAACAGCCACACTTCCTCGAATCTGAAAGGCCTATCCTTTCTAAGAGGTGGGGAAATGTCGGCACTAGAGAACTGAATGGGATGGTGATCGGAGTGGGTGCAAGGCAGGATATGAGCCTTCCCTTCAGGGAACAAGAGTTGAGCTTCCATATTCCATAAGACCCTGTCTAACTTTCTCCGAAGGGTGATCCTGTCTCCGAGTTTCCTATGCCAAGAAAACCTAGGTCCAGAGGAGTCGAGATCCATGAGTCTATAATCATTAATCGCTTCCAAAAATCTGTCCACCGCTCCGGGGATAATGTCCCCATTTCCTCACTGATCCGAATGGCCCATGATGTTATTAAAATCCCCTAACATGATCCAGGGGTCTTGAAAAGAGCTAGAATAGGTCCTGCAATCCTGCCAAAAAATTTCCTTTGCCTTGAGGTTAGGTCTAACGTAAGCAAAAGAGTACCTGACACACTTACCATTTCCCTGCGTGAGAAGAGTATGGATTGTTTGGGAGTTATGTCCCACCACCGAAAGAGAAATCCGGTCTTTGTTCCAAACAAGGAGGAGACTCCCCCGCGAACCCAATAGGGTCCACCATAAAAGATGAACTGAAACCCAACTTCTCAACCATCTTTAATAAGCCATCAGCAGCTTTAGTCTTAGTTTCTAAGAAACAAACACCACACACTTCGGTTGATTTGAGAATCTCCCTTGCATGCCGCCTTGTGCAACCACTCTTAACACCACTGCAATTCCAATACACTAAAATCATTGAGAAACGACGGGGGTGGGGGCGACAGGATTACCGCTCTCCTCCGGTGCGCAATTCAGGTCCATCGGTTGCCCGTTGACCGCATCTGTTTGCCTAAAAACAAACGTGACAAGGCCAGTATTGGCCTCCTTCGAAGTTGACGGATTAGTGGCAGTAACCTGTCGATTAATCCTAGTCAAACTGTTGTTCCTCTTAGTGCCATTTCCCTTCTGTTTGGCCGAATTGCGAGGACCTTCCACTGTTGCTTTCCCAGCTTGATCTTTCTTTTGTCCCTGTAGAACAAAATTAAGATTAACGTTAGCAAGGTCAACTGTGGGTGGGGACTCACCTAGAGACTCCTTCTGTTTTCCTTTCTATCTATAGCGCTCTCCTTTCGATGGATGCATCACTTCCTCCGGCGAAAATTGTTCCCTAGTCTCCCGGAGCACTGAAAATTGATTGGAAGATTGCGCCGGCTTCTTCCCCTTCTGTGTCTGTTTGCTGGTCCCCTTTTTTTTTTTTTTTTCCTGATTTTCCAGTACGTGTTTTTTATTTTTCACGATCATCCATTCCCCATAACGGGGTAGGTTACATTGTTTTTCCACCACTATAGCATCTGCCATTGTCTCACCCTGTTCCTGAGGTGAATCAGCGTTGTTGTCGACCGGTTGCTCAGTAGCCGGAGGTGTCTTTTTGGGGCAGTCGGCTGAACGGTGGCCAGCCTCTCCACAGTCAAAACATATAGTGTGTAATCCTTCGAATTTGACCTGCTGGGTCATATCTTCGACGATAATCATCGACACCAGGGGTTTACGAAGATCGAGCTCGACGGCGGCCCTTGCGAAACGGCCTTTTCCTACCCCCACCGTCGTTCGATCCAGTCTCACTGGTTAGCCGATCTGGTTTAATATCGCCTTGATAGTGTGATCGCGAAAGTACTCGACCGGAAGCCCCGGGAACCGAACCTAGACCGTCATCTTTTCTACGGTGGCTTTCGCCGGATTAAATTTCGGCGACCAACATTGGGGAACTACGTAATGATCGAAAACCTTCCACGGGCCTTCCGTAAGAGCCCTCATGCACTCCTTAGCCACTTCGAAACGAGCGATGAACCAGTTGAAGCCAAGATCGATCAACTCAAACTTTCCTCTCGGATTCCACAACTTGGTCAGCCTGTTCAGAAGTATATTGTAGGTTATTCGTTTGCCCAAGAACTTCAGTGTAAGGGCATTCTTCCATGGTTCTATAAGTTCTTTTCGGATTTCCCTGGAGAACTTCACCACCGGTAGACCCAGGGGGTTGTCGATTTCTCCATCCTCGACATCGGGATCGATCTCGATCTCGTCTTTGAACCACTCGCCATCATCAGACTCAACCATGGGCTCATCTCCGAAACGGGGAGAAGATGAGATTGCATCAGCGAACGAACGCTTCATGGCCTTAAACTTCTTAAAGGTCCTTCTAGCCTCACTATCCAGCGGAGCGCCGGGCGCCGGCGAAGGTACCGCCGGACTTTGCATGCAGAAGGAAACCGCGTGAAGGACGGATCGCGCCAAAACTTTCCAAAATTAGGAGAGAATTGAGAGCGTTTGCATGAATTCCACCAACCAGTATTTTGAGATTGAGGAATATGGGTTAGTTTATATCTGTTTATTGGCTGTTAATAACAAGGTTAATATGGTAATTTCATTTCCCTTTTTTTTTTATCAAATTAATTAGTAATTAAATTTCTTAATTTCTCTCCTTCTCTGCTTCCCTGTCGATGAGGCATTCCTTAATTTCTCTCCTTCTTCTGCTTCCTTATCCATGAGGCATTCCTAGTCGTGAAGAACCAAATTAATTAGTGAAGAACCACTGCCTCATCAACAAGCACTCAACAGCCTTTGCAAACACCTTAATAAAATTAAAACTTGCATCCAATGCACAAACACCTTAATAAAATTAAAATTTACATCCAATGCACAAACATCTCCATATAACCTTAATCCAAAACAAACACATTCAAGTGTCAATTTGTCATACAATATGCATCAAACATGTAATATGCCATAAGAGCCCTAGTACATCAATTAACAGTGTTATACAAAATAAAAGGGACATCCTATATAAAAATATTTCATACTAATGCTTAATCAATTAATATTGTCTAATTTTGTCCTTTTGATGATAGGTAGCTTGGACACCTTTTCTTTATTCCTTGGAACATTGACTTCTTCACAAGCAACCACAAGAGGAGTTTGAACATTGGCATCATCTTCATTCTCAGGCTGAGTATGGACTGCAATAACTTCAGCAATTCCTGCACCAAATCCTCCATCCATAAGTTGTTCATTATCAGCTCCTTCATTCTCATGTCCTTGATTAACTTCTGTAGTTGATGCATGATGATTATGAGGTTGTGGTATCGTTTTGGTTCTTACCCTATTTTGGATTTAGCTATAAACAATAATAAGCAAAATAAAATAAAAGTTAGTTGTGAACTAAAGTAATTAAATTTGTCAATTGAAATTTTAAACTTACCAACTTTTCTCTCACAGTAGGATCTTCTGGACATCTTCTAGAATTATGGCCTGTTTTTTTACATTTACCACAATGCAACTTGATTTGACTCCTACTGACTTTAGTGGGATCTTTTGACTCATTTGACTGCTTGATAGTTTCTACTGCACTTTTTTTCCTTAGCTTTCTTGGCCTACCACACTTTGATGTCTTATACAATGGTGGAAGTGGTGGTTATTTGTCAATGGCCATTCTTCAGGCCCAGACATGGGCTTAATGGATCCTGCATAAGTTTTCAAATAGCTATCTGTGGAGTAGAATAAGCTAACATAATCTACTACTGTTTCCTTGCCATTTTTCATCCAAATTGCACGAATAACATGCTTGCAAGGGATTCCTTTCAGCTGCCATTTCCCATAACTGCATGATTTTTTACACAAATCAACTTCTTGTTGATCCTCCCACTTCCCTCTAACTTCAAATAACTCATAATCACATTGATCACACAAATAACCAGCATCGGCCTTTTCATTAGCTTCAATCTTTGCAACAATTCTAGGACATATTTTAGACTTCCAAGCACTAGCTTTTTTTCTACAGTCAAATAGTCTTACCATTATTTGCTTCCTTAAACCCTCAAGGCATGCAATTTGTGGCTGTTTCCTTGCCTCTAATATCATAGAATTAAAGCATTCAGAAATGTTGTTCACCAAGATATCACACTGTGGAGTTGTGGAAAAATGAGACTTCGACCATTCACTAGGATGTTTATCAGATAACCAGGCAAAAACATCTACATCCAACTCTTTAATATTCCTCATTGCTTGGGTGAAACTGTTTATAGTTGTTGCCCTAGCTGCTGCCCATAAACAATCTTTTATTGCTCTACCTTGGAACCCAGCAACCTTCATGTTGCTGTGCAAGTGTTGCACACAAAATCTGTGATTTGCTAAAGGGAACATAGTCTCAAATGCAGGTATTAATCCTTTCTGCTTGTCAGAAATAAAGGCCACATTATGCTCATATGAAATCTCCAAGTCCTTTTTAACATGTTTTAAAAACCAAATCCAGGATTGTTTTGTTTCCCCTTCAACAATTGCATAAGCCAAAGGAAATATTCCATCATTTGCATCAATCCCAACCGCTGTGAGTAATTGACCTCCAATTTTTGCCTTTAGAAAACAACCATCTACCCTATAATAGGTCTGCAGTATTTGTAACCTTGCTTACAACCCTCCCAACACATGTAAATTCTCAACAATCTCTTTTGTCCTACAATTTCTTTCAAATCACTAAGTTTTACGTCATAAGCAGACTTAGGATTTGTTTTCTCAATTTCTAGACGATAACTCCACAATTTTTTAATTTGATCTTCTTGTTCTTCTTTTAAATCACCCCTTGCAAGTAACATGGCCTTATAGCATTGCCTAGTTGTTAGGATGTATTTGTCATCAGTTTTAACTCTCTTTTGAAACTCTTCAATTGTCCAAGTGCTATTACTTTTTATTTCTCTTTTCCATCTCTTTGCAACCTTAGAAGAAGTGATCAACTTGTTTTCATATTCCCATCCACAACCTTCATGTTTATCATTGTAACATAAAACTCTCCAATTAAAACTATTTTGAAGTTTCCTACAGTTGATTTTCCAAGGGCAGCCTTCACCTTTACAACTTACTGTAACTCTAAGCTTGTCATTCTTTGAAAATTTCAAATCTTTTCCGTTGTTGATAGCATAATTTTTTATAGCTTGCTTAAACTGTTCTTTGGTAGCAAATGTTAACCCTTTGCAAAATATAGGGTTTGTCATTTCAGTTGGTCTAAAAAAGGTTCATTTGCTCTCTTCTTTCTCATCATCACTCACAGGGTTCTCATCTGATAAATTAACTCCATCATCACCTCCATTAGTAACATGCAAACCATTCTTTTCACAAACTACTACTGATCCCACACCTCCATACTCATCTGTTTCATCAACATATTTTTCAAACTCCATATCGTCCCTTATCCCTTCATTCATATCATAATCAGAATCAATAAAGTCTTCCAAAAATTCATCATCACTATCACTTTCTTCTTCATCATCATCTCCAGAATTCCTGTCACTTTCTTCTTCACAACCTACAACCCAAAGTTCTAACTCCCTATGATTAGCTTCCAAACAATGGATACCCAAAGACCATATTTCTAGGGGTGTGCAAACTTCGGATAATTTTCAGTTAACCGACCGAACCGACAAAGTTCGGTTAACCTTTTTCGAACCGAACTTTTTCGGTTCGGTTAGTGGTTAAATGAATTTTAAAACTTCGGTTAACGGTTAATTCGGTTTGAAAGGTCGGCTAACCGAAGTTTTTAATATATATATAAATAATAATATAAATATAAATACTAATTTGAAGTTATGGATGTTTGGAGTTTATAATTGATCTTTTTGTATATTTTGTTATTAATTTATTATGGTATGTATTTTATTTTAATTGGATTTATTATTTTAGGTGTTATTTTTAGAATTTTAAATTTTAGCATTAAAAAGTTCGGTTAATAGGTTAACCGAAAAAAATTTCGGTTCGGTGAATTCGGTAGAGCAAACTTTGGTTCGTTTAACGGTTAAAGGAAATTTTTTTTTGGTTAATTCGATTCGGTGATTGAACACCCCTACATATTTCAGAATCAGAAACCAACTCAGTTAATGTGATTCTTGGTTTTGATCCATTACTTGACTACTTGGCGTTGTCGTTTGCGTTTAAAAGTGTCTAGACATGGTTTCGGGTTCCACGAAAGATCCTGTGACCAAGATATTACAAAAGAGTCAGTGGGGGATAGGTAGGGGTAGGGGAACCTGCCACTTACCCGCTGTCCCTATTGGTGTCGCCGGCAGCGGGCAGGTGACTGCCCGCCGGGCACCCGCTGCCCAGAAGCACGCCACCGGCGGGCAGCCGGCGGATGGTCCACCACCCGCCGGCCACCCGCTGGTATTCCCAGTGTGGGATGGTGGTTTTCCCCGTTTGATGTTTCCCCATCCCATGTGGTGTCCCAACGGACCCCGTTCGTCGTGCCTGAGTCTAGTTTGATGTTCGGGTACTATTCGTAAGATAAAAGAGTCTTGTGTATTGCATGCTAGTGGTATTGGTATCCCGTTGACCTAGGTGAAAGATGTATTACCCCTTAGGCTTATTCCTAGTATGTAATTGACCACACATAAGTTTTATTTATACGTTTTCCCCCTTCCCAATGTGCTAATGTGGGTTGCATGTGCTTGCTATGTGTTATGTGTGCGTGATACCCAAATTTGGTTGCGATCAAATTAGCTATACGGGCAGTTGGATGGGTTGAGAACCATCGGCTGTTAACCAGGCCCGTTGCGATCGGTCAGGTATATAAATATTATATAGGGTTGCGATCCACCGTTTGGTTGCGATCAAACGTTACACATGAGTTGCGGTTCATAATCTGGTTGCGATCAGAAATACACTTTTTGGGCTGCGGTCCACCGTTTGGTTGCGATCAAACGTTATGATGAGCTGCGGTTCATTGGTTGGTTGCGATCAACCGCTTCGTGCTGCGGTACGATGCAGGGTGCTGCGGGGCCGTGTTAGAGCTATATGCGCTGACCCTCATGTATGGGTATGCGATTGGTCCTGTGGCGCCACTTAAGTGTGCTTATGTGTTGAGATAATGATTGAATGATGATGCGAAGGATTTGAAATATTCTTGTGACCTTAGGGAGTGTGCTAGTATCTTGATATGCTTGATTATAACTGTTATATGTGCTTGTCCTTACCTGTTGAGTCTATTCTCGGTTTTAAAGCTAGCGTCTCCTAAGTATATATCTTCCGGCTTCAAAATGGTTTTCCTATATATATATATATATATATATATATATATATATATATATATATATATATATATATATATATATATATATATATATATATATACCTATATTGTATTTTTCAAAAAAAAAAATACCTATATTGTATTTTAACGCGTTGGAGTGGGTTACCAGCATTATTCGCTGAACAGATATATTTGGCTTTCAGGCACAGATGAGTAGCTCCGGAGCGCGCTAGAGGACCCAAGGCTTAGATAGTTAGTTTCCTTTTCGGCCTGCGTGCCATGATGATGTAATGTCATTTTTTTTGAGGATAATTAGATAGTTTAGCCTGTGCATCTAAGTTCTCCAGCTCAGATGTGGCATAGCACCCCAAACACTTCTGTTTAAGTATGTTCTGTTTTGGGATTTAATGATAGTATTACCTTAATTTCATAAGCTTTGAAAGTTTTAAATTTTAGGGGTGTTACAGTCTGCCGTCCGGGAATGAAACTGGATTGAGAGGGGCTAATCAATTTGGGCATTACTTGCCTCAATCTAGAAGCCATGACTTTCGTAATTAATTTGTAGGATGTGTTGTAGAGGCCAATCAGTCTAAGCTGCTTAACTGATTCATGAGATGATACTTTAGGGATCAGAGAGATTATCGTATCACTACTTCCTTCTGGCAACACACTATTGCCGAAGAACTCCATGACATAATCCACCAGATTTTGGCCAAGCACATGCCAAGCATGTTTATAAAATCCCGCATGGTAACCATCCGGTCCGGGTGCTTTAGCCTTCTTCACTTCCTCATAACTAACTGGTCAGTTTAGGCATTGCAGTCAGACTCATTAAGTCTGGGAAAGTTTCCTATGAAATCAACATTCTCTGGACAGGAGGGATCCGCTGTGAATAGAATCTTAAAAAACTGACTAACATGATCAAGTGCCGCTTCTTTGTTGGGGAAGGGATTCCCTTGGTCATCTTTAAGAGTGTTGATTGATGATCTCGATTTATTCACGGCTATAGCAGCATGGTAAAACTTCGTATTACGATCACCTGAAGAAATCCAATCCTCTCCAGACCTTTGAAATCAAAGCATTTCCTCCTGATGCAAAATCAATTCGTACTCATCACAGAGTTTTCTCCCCAATCTGATGAGATCAGACCTATCGTTAGCTGCTAGACCATGTTGAACACCATTCAGCCTTGCAATAACCCGTTTTTTTCGCTGGAAAAGGTTGCCAAAAGTGTCACGATTCCAGGACTCAAACTTTTGTGCTAGTTGTCTCTTGTTAGCCTCAATCCTAGACGCAGGGTCCCAGCCATCTTTCACCATGTTCAAGTAGTCCGGATGGGTAGTTCACATAGCATTGAACCTGAATTTCTTAACATTGTTCCCATTAGTTCTGGCTGTAGTTCTCAGCAGAAGAGGAGTATGGTCAGAACTAATCATTGGCAGGTGAATGATCTCGGTATCTGGGAATCTAGATTTCCATCCAATGTTGCAGAGTGCGCGGTCTAGCCGAGCACCTTTGAAGGAGGAGGACTCAAGTCCCCTACACCAAGTGAGTTTTGCTCCTATGAAATCCAAATCAGTGAGGTCTTCTCTGAAAATCAAATTGCCGAAGTCTGCACAACGAGTAGGGGAAAAAGAGTTATTTTTTGATACTTTATCTTTTTTTAGGACTGCATTGTAGTCCCCCATGCAAAGCCAATACCCGTGAAAATTTATAGAGTCCTGGGAAAGAGTGGCAAAGAGTTCCCTTCTGAGTGAATAGTCTGGGCTACCATAGACAAGTGATAGGAACCAATGCTGCTCATTCAGATGTGAGACCCTGAGCAACATGAACTGGGGATGGGTGAAGTGGATGTCTACCATAGTGGTGTCTTTCCAGAATACCCAAATGCCCCCGGAGAAGCCAAATGCTTCAATCCTAGCCCATTCATCGAAACCGATGGAAAAACAAATTTTATCAGCATGTTCGCCTGACTCCCTTGGTTCAAAGAGACAAAGGATGTCAGGCTTGTGATCTCGGATTAATTGTTTAAGGGTGCGGTGAAACTTTTGTGACGCCACACCTTGGCAATTCCATGAGAGTACTATCATAAAAACAAAGTAGAGAAAAAGAAGCATGCTCAAAAGAGCATGCGAGGATCCCCCTGAGAGCCAAAGTTGGCCTCGCCCTGGTTATCTTCCTCCATCGTGTCCTTCGGTGTATCACAATCAAAGAAATATCCCCCCTCTTCTGGAGGGACGTTCAAGATCGGAGCAGTAGTGCAGTGAGAGGATCCTAGCTCCGGGGGTCTAGGACTGTGATGAACGATGGATCTGATAATGCCACCCTAGAGGAACTGCGGACGAGTACATGTTCTTCTGCAGCAGCTCACGTCATCACGTTTGGTCTTTTTCGGATTGCGTTCAAGGACTTCTTGAACAGTCGGTGGTTGAAAGCCGGTGACCGGACGTTCTTCGAGAGAGAGCATTTCAAGTCATTTTGTTCATTATTATTATTATTATTATTATTATTATTATTATTATTATTATTATTATTATTACTATTATTATTATTATTATTACTATTACTATTATTATTATTACTATTATTATTATTATTATTATTATTATTATTATTATTATTATTATTATGGTGATGGTGATGTTAGCACGTATCTATATATTTAGTATATTCATAACCTTAATTAATTTCTATATACATTTTGTTTGCACGTAATATATGTATTATTCTCATTGTAGACAAAAAAAAGAAGAAGAGATAATAGGATTAAATAATAAAATTTACCTCGTCCGGTCGGGGACACGTCGGCCGCCGTGACTGGTCACCCAACCGTAGCGCATCCAAGAGCCCGCCCAGGGACGCGTCGGCTAGCGGGCTTGCCGCTTTAAGAGTGCTCGACGGCCATTGTGAGGCGCCTCGCATCGTGGCTGAGGGGTCCTTAGGGATCCTCCCTTTGTTAAGTAATGAGCCATCTCTACGTTGTCTGACCTCTAACCCAGGTGGCTGATTTGGAGTATCTTTCACCAGTCCATCACCTTTTTTAGGTTTTAGTTGATCGTTAACCTGAAAAAATAAAGAAAGAACATAAGTTCCCCAAGCACCCTGGCCGCCTGGCTTCTTGATTCGCCCTGATTCGTCTGCAACCCGAGCGGGTTCCTGGCTTATTGCGTTGTTCTCGACTGGTCACGCTGCTTCTAACTGGTTCAGCGGAGCGATACAGTCGGGGTAGGCGTAATCATGACTCTTACGCTAATTCCGCCGATTACGTCTTAAAAACGTGTCTCTTCATAACCATCACCTCAAATGTAACATCAGCGCCCCCGGTCCGTCCGATTTGAGACACGCTTCGCGATCTCCTTGCCCGTTCAACCTTATAAATACCCTTCTTCCTCTTCACATTCTCCTCCTCATGCTTCTCATCCTTACCCTGCCCTTCCACCTTCTCTTCTTCAACATTACGGGATAATGGCCGATTGGCTGACGCCCAATGCTGGCTGCTCGTCGGTCACCTTCCTCACCTATTTTCATCGCCTTAGGGTGGATGCTTCTATTCCAATAGCTTTCCAAGCTTGCACAAGCATGCCAAGTCTCCCCAGGCTAAGTACAGTCACTGCCGCGTCGAGAAGGAAACCCACCAAAAGGATCAACGGCCGCCAGACCGATCTTTTGAGTGCGTACAGGGGAGTTAAGCAGAGGGAAAAGATCCCTCAAGCTGGCGTAGAATCTGATGGGCGCTTCACCAGTGGAGCCAGCACAGTTTCAAAAGAAAGAAAGTTCTTTTCCCCTGTAACTACCTATCGAAGGGACGGTGAACATCCAAGGAGCCGACATTCTGGTATATCTACGGAGCAAATTTAAGCTTGAACTGGACTGTGCCGTGCTCCTTATTACGGTTGAGAGAGCGCCTACACGTCTCCGTCACATCCCCAAACCGAGGTTCGAGCCTGCCACGAGAGCGTTCCAACTGGGCGGGGGTGAACTTTAGAGTAGACTAGTCGTCCGTTTTCTCTTTCTTTTCGCTTCTTTTTTGAATGTAATCTGCCCTTCGGGACTTTTGAATGCGAAACCTGCCCGACGGGCCTTTTGTTCATTAACTGCTTTCCTTTTCTTCTGGCCAGTTTATTTTCTGAGTACAGTTGTTCGCCCGCATGGCACGGACGGGCTTTTAGAGTTGTCACATCCTTCGAGGGGCGAGGCGGGTTGCCTACGAGCCCCCGAGGAACTTCAAAACTCGCTAAGTCACTCCGTGGGCGAGGCTGGCTGCCTACGAGCCCGCGAGGAACTTCTAAACTCGCTAAGTCCCTCAGTGGGCGAGGTTGGCTGTCTACGAGCCCCCGAGGAACTTCCAAACTCGCAAAGTCCCTCAGTGGGCGAGGCTGGGCTGCCTACGAGCCCCCGAGGAACCTCCAACTCGCCAAGTCCCTTAGTGGGCGAGGCTGGCTGCCTACGAGCCCCCGAGGAACTTCCAAACTCGCTAAGTCCCTCAGTGGGCGAGGCTGGCTGCCTACGAGCCCACGAGGAACTTCCAAACTCGCTAAGTCCCTTAGTGGGCGAGGCTAGCTGCCTACGAGACCCCAAGGAACTTCCAAACTCGCTAAGTTCCTCAGTGGGCGAAGCTGGGTGCCTACGAGCCCCCGAGGAACTTCAAAACTCGCTAAGTCCCTCCGTGGGCGAGGCTGGCTGCCTACGAGCCCCCGAGGAACTTCAAAACTCGCTAAGTGTAACACCCCTAAATTTTCAAATATTTAAAACTTGTAAAATAAAGGCAAATATAATATTAAATCCCAAACAGAGCATAAACGAAACATAATAGCCGGGGTGCTATGCCACATCTAAGGTGGAGAACTTAGATGCACATGCTACACTAACTAACCAAATAAAATCCATAAATCCATAATTGAGTTCGAACCAAGGCACGCAGGCCGACTAACTGAATCTAAGACTATCTAGACCAGATTCGGGGGATCCAACTAGCGCATTCCAAGCTACTAGTCTCCACCTGAAAAACATACGGTGTAACAACCGTCAGCGAATAATGATGGTAACTCACTCCAACACGTTAAGTACAATATAGGTAGATACAAGAAATCATTTTGAAACTGGAATACATATATACTTACGGGACTCTAATTTAAATCCAAGATCAAGACTCAAGACACAACAACAGACTCGATAATAAAGAACAATCACAAAGACTAGCATGCGTCCTAAGAACACGATACAAGACATAATAGACAGATAAACATATAAATAGCAAATAGAGACAACAAAGGAATTCAAGACAGTCAATTGGCAAGTAAACATCAAGGCACACAATCCGTCTTCCAACCTTATACCAAGTTCCAACCTTGTAGCTCCCCTTCCGTCCTTATATCAGTTCCAATCTATACCTCCAGGCCACCCTTATATTGCCTCCCTTATTTCTCCGGGCAACTACATGCCCCCACCGAAAAACAACCTTTCAACCACCAACATATCAAGATCTCATCGCAGTTCCATTCGCATGATCCGTACCACTAGTACTAATATCAAAGAGACAACGCATATAGCCTCGACATGACACCGCAACACTTATAACCTGACCCATGCTCAACGGCAAGCTAGTCGAAGGTGGGTTTGTGCCTTTAGCACAGTAACCGCTAGGCCTGTACCTTTAGTACAATGACCGGGCACTCGTTGTGCCAACCGCCAACAATTCATTTTCACCAATCACAATCTCATCATCATCATCATCATCATCATCAGTCACACCGGCCATTGCGCAATGACCACGATACTCATCATCATTCAATCAATCAACACATAATCAATCAATAGCAATCAAGACATAACCACAACGACACGTACTACACATAAATTCCTAGAACGATACTCAAAACCCCAAACAAGACTCATACTTCAAACGGGGTACAACGGGACACGGGGAAACCATAAACGGGGAAAAATATCACGACGCACCAACATATTCCAGCGGGTGGCCGGCGGGCAGACCACCGCCCGCCGGCTGCCCGCTGGAACAATGTTCCCAGGCAGCGGGTACCCGTGCCCCCACCTTCCCCCCACTGATACTTGGGCAACTTTTCGGTCCTGGGATCTCTCGTGGAACCCGAAACCATGTCCAGACACATTTAAACACATAACGATAACACCACAGATTCAATTAACGGGATTAAATCAAGAATCGTACCAAATACATTCTAACACGACTCCTAAACATGTCAAGACTCAACATTAATCATATAACGGTTCAGGAGCATTCGGAACCACAAGAATATCAATAAATCTATATACAAGCCCTAAAGACAAGTCCTAGGCTAGACTCAACACCGATCATGCATAATCCCACCCAAATATACCAAGAACATCACAACAACGAGATTCACAATATAAACCCTAGGGACAAGCTCTAGACATAATTAAAATACAAGATCACACATATAATCAATCACAATATCAAGAACATCAAGATTATCAAATAAACACAATATAAACCCTAGGCAAGGCTCTATCAAGACTCAATCACCGAATTACACATACGATTATCAAATGAGCCAATGAATAAGATATAGCAAGGAAAATTGGTTTTGTAAGACATGGGTTACCTCTTAGCCCTAATCAATATCCTTGGCTACTAAGGTTCTTCTCTAAGATTGCAACCATAAAAAAAGGCTCAAGTTGATGAATTTAAAAAAATCTTTTATGAGGGTCATTTGTACTCCATTAAAAACTTTATTGTTGCTACAAATGACATGAGATACATAATTACGCACCACAAATTCAAGATCTTGTTCATGCATTCTACAAAAGTCTTTCAGTATAACAACAACGACTTTCCAAACATGACATACATGCTGAAAGCTTTTGATCAACTTGGTCCTACCCAAATTAATGCATCCAAACTATTTGGTAATACTAATTCACGTTCCTCATTTCGTTTACCATTTTAAGTATGTAATATATATTTAAGAAAAAATGACACTTTTCCCCCTGAGTTATATACTTATAGCACTTTTCCCCCTCTGAATTATTCAAGTGGCTATTTTTTCTCCCTGAAATGTTAAATGGACATATTTAGCCTTAAAATAAATATTTCATTTATTTTTCTTCTCCAACAAATTATGTCCACGATTCGGTTCAAACCGAACAAACACTATACCAACTAAACTGAAATATTCCAATTACAATTTAGAATCGAAACTTGATATTTAGAGTTTATTAAAATCGCGAACCGGAATGGCCGGTTCATGTTCCAAACTGGAAAAAAATAAAATACATTTATTGTTGAATTTAGACTATTTTAAAAATAGAAATAAAATGTTAAAATAAAGATGATTCAAAATCGCGAACCGGATCCGGAACCGTCGGTTCACGGTTCAGAATCCAGTTTGTTTGATTCATAATTTTAATAAACTGAAATCTAAATATTGTGTTCTAGATCTGAATCATAACCGAAAACTTTCAATTCGATTGCTATAGTGTCCGGTTCAGTTCGAACCGAACCGTAGTCATCCCTACGTATAAACAATAATTTGTTGGAGAAGAAAAATAAATAAAATGTTAACTTTAAAGGGTAGGAATGTCAATTTAATATATCAGGTGGAAAAATCGCCACTTTTAGAATAATTGAAGGGGCTAATGTGCTTACATAAATAACTCAGGGGGAAAAAGTGCTATAAGTATATAACTAATGGATGGGAGACATGGTTCATCCACTTTGTTCTTCAGGATCATGAGTAAGTCATGTTATATTAATCAAGTTTACACTTCTACGATGATTTTCCATTTTTTAAATTTCTCCATTAATTTATCATATCATAATCGTTGCCGTGCATCGCACGGGTAAGACACTAGTTTTCAATTATAGCTGAAGTTTAATTTTTGTTCGGAAGAATTAGTTGAGAATGTATGAAATAGAAATTTAATAGAAAAAATAATCAAAAAAATTAATTAAATTGTTTGGTTGGTAGAAAAAAATTACTGAGAATATTAATTTTATTTTTTGGTTGGATTAGGATTGGTAATGAATAAGGAGTATAAAGACAATTATATCCTTACATAATAACAACAACAACAACAACAACAACAATATTTAATAAAGTTTTGGTGAGGGTAAAATTGTCCAAATAATTGTTTTTATAGAAAATAAAATAGTGAAAATACCAAGGGTGAGCAAAGGAAAAAAAATTCCTCATTCTTGAGGAAAACTTTTGGTGAGGGCGAAATTGTCCTAATTTTTTTTATAGAAAACAATATACTGAAAATACAAAGGGTAAGCTAGGGAAACAATTTTCCTCATTCTTGAGGAAAACTTTTTGGGATTAAAAATGCTTTTCCATCAAACGAAAGAAAATTTAAATTTTCTCTAATTTAAGAAAAACTTTATTTTTTAATAAAAAATTCCTTCCAACGAAACACACCCTTTAAAATATACCGTTGGATTCAAATTAGACAACTGT